AAGCCCCAGGCAGAGTTGCTCTGCCCCGGGCTTCCTGGAATCAGCTGCTGATCAGTTTCAGCAGCAGCTGACTTGGGGACGCCTGGGGTTCTTAAGTTGATTCTGTATGTAAGTCAGAACTGGCGGTCAGTTTCAGCAGTGTCTGAATCTGGACGCCAGTTCCGACTTACATACAGATTCAACTTAAGAACAAACCTACAGTCCCTATCTTGTACGTAACCCGGGGACTGCCTGTACTGTTTTATTAAAAATATTTAATCTGTCAAACTGCTGAATAGTTTCATATTAGTACAGTAACTTACGCCAGATTGTTAGTGCACTAAACACAAGAAAGACTGAATACTAGGACAATTGTCTGAAGAAATGTATTTAATACAACTGAATATTGGAAGGTACGTAGGAACAATTAAAGGGTTCTACTTTAAAAGAAATTACTGCCCTTCCCTGGTGGATTTGACTAAATGTTGTAGATAGAAATTCATTATACTCTTGGGTCTCGTTTATATACCAGTTGAATGACAATTGGTTTTGCCAGTATTTCACAATAAACTTTTAAAGAGAATTTATAATCCAGAGCATATTAAAAGTGCTCAGTTCAGTTCCTAAAACTTGTGAAAAGAAATGAAATGCCACATGTAGCTTTATAGGAACTTTTTAAAAAATGATATATTAAAAGGGTATAAAACATTTCTAAGATTAAGTTGGAAGTATTTTACTTAAACTTTCATGTACTTGAATAGCTGCTGTAGATTGGCAATGATGCTACATTAGGTGCTACTTTTACTTGTTGTGGAAGAGGGCAGATTTACTATATTTTTCTTTCAACTTTTTCTACATACTGCATTTTGATGTTCGTAGAGCTGGGACTGCTTCTAAGTGAGTTAAATACATTCCAATATGCTTTCTTAAAAAACTACTCCATAATAGTTTGTCAGTGATGATGACAATGTCTATGCTGATAACCTCACACCAGCTGAAGCTCTGTTTGGACATGCAGATGATGATGAGGAGAACTCCAGTTTTGAAGGATTTTAGCTCTTGTGTGTTAGCTTGGTTGCTGATTGAGCTAAGGTTGTTGTACTTTTAAAGTTACGGTATTTTTGATACCATATTGTTTTTGTTGACCCCCTTTTCCACTTACAGAGCTAGGTTATTGTTTTTCTTTGAAATAAATATTCATGTAATTTTATTGGTATCTATCTTCATTTTTTACATTTACCAGTAGCTGCCTCATTTCCTACCCTAGGCTTATACTCGAGTCAATACTTTTTCCCAGTTTTGTGGTAAAATTAGGTGCCTCGGCTTATACTCGAGTATATACGGTAGCTCAGAATCCTGATTCTCCAATCACAACAGGCCTTATCAGAATCCTATTAAAGTTAATGGGAGGGCACCAAGTTACTGCAGAGGACCCTAAACCAGGTTTAAATTCTAGACTGAGTAGGCAAATAGTTTAGAACATGAGGTAAACCGAGAACCTAATACAATTAATACTTGCACAATTAATACTTGCACACAGACAAAAGGAACTGAGCCCATGTTCCTTGGGATTTTAAATAAGGCCTAGAAAAATGTGTAGTAAGTGGTTCATAACCTCAAATACTATAAGCATACTGCTGTGCATTCCTTCTGTGGCATAGAAGATTAAAAAAGGGGAAATCTTTGCCAAGAATAAATCTCTGAATAAGAGTTAGGGTTTTAAAATTGCATTTGTTTAACTTGATTTAAGCAGGAGGACAGAGAGGGGAAGAGACACATGAAGGGCTGCTCCAGCCTGGCTATAACAGGGCTAGTGAGCCTCCCTGTTGCTCTGGAGCAGCCCCCACTGGTTAAGGTTAACAGGTATGCCTCACTCATTAAGGTTAAGCATTCACATCTTTTAGTTAGGATCGGGTCAGGTTGGATTCTGACTACTCTCGAGTGGGTCAGATGTGCTTGGGTCCAGTTCCATTCTAAGTCAGGCTTAGCAATGAGGTCCAAGGGGACCTCAGCATCCTGGCCTCGTGATATGAGTAATTGCCCTGCACAGATACAAAAAAATTATATCCACATCCATATCCACAAAAGTGACAGACAGACATCTGCATTTCCAGGGCTCTAAATATTAGATCTTCTATAAATCAGACACAGCTGGGCTTCAGTTTATTCTAAATTTGCTGAAGAAAACTGAGTGATGAGCAGTTGGAGCTGGCCTGCCAAACTGACTAATTCTACTGATTTTTATTTAAAATATATAGGACAGTCAAGGAGCTACATTGTGTTTTGAAATACTTCGTCAGTTTAAACAATTTTATTTGGTACATTTTTCATTGACTCATCTGTTCAACTGTATGAAAAGTGATTGGCTACAATAGTGAATCAGGTTTTCAAACTTTCTAGCCAGTGTTATTCCTGACGTAGTGAGTGAGTTTCTTTGGTTTCTAAGGCCAGGTCTATACTAGAAACTCCCAAAAGAGTTATTTTGGGAGTTATTTAAAAATAAGTTTTGAAGTGTGTACACACTACAGGGAAAGCCTCAAAATTAGTCCAAGGCAGGCTCCTTAGTGTGGGCATGTTACCTTGACTTAGAGCCCCAGGAAGCACTGAGGAGTAATCACTTTGAAGGGCTCTGGAGAGTAGTTATTTCAAAATAGCAGCAGTGGAGCACCCACACTATCACTATTTCAAAATAAGCATTATTCCTTATGGAAAGCAGAAGTTATTTTGAAGTAACAGGCTTGGTAGTGTGGACATTACTCTAGGGAGTTATTTTGACATAAGTAGAGAGTACAACTAATGGAAATTCTCCAGTACTAGTTATTTTGAGGCTTTTCTAACAAATTAGGGCATAAGTTCAAGAGCTTATACCCCAATAAATTTATTAGTCTTTAAGGTGCCACAGGACTCCTTGTTTTTGCTGAAAGAGGCTAATGTGAGTCTCTGAAACTTGAGGCTTCTCTGTTGCTCAGCTTGTCTATCACTCAGTTGTTCAGCAACTTTGTTAGTCTATTTGAACAAGCAATATAGAAAGACTAATCTTGTCCTCTGACCTTGAACAAATCATAAAACCTCCTCCATCTAGTAGCTCAGTTTCCACAGCAACAAAAAGTAGAAAATACTCATCTCCTGTATGTCTACACATAAGATAGCATTAAATAATTTAAAAAATTATACTCACCTTTTTCCTAAAAACTGAAAATGAAAGTCCACATGCTTTGCAAACTACATTGGCTCCTGAAGATGGATATGCTGAGAAATCTGTATTTGATGCAAATCTGAATGGGCCAGGACCACCCATAAATCCTGGCTGTTGCCCACGGACAGCTCCGGTACCCATGACTTCATTCAGCAACCCACAGCAGGAAGCCCACATAGATGTGGCTCCCGCCTGAAAACAGTAAAAGCAAAAAGAATTTCTCTCTATTTTAAGATTTATAAGTTGCTATTGAAGAGATACTTCATTCTGTTACACCATCATCCCACTAGTGTGGTATATGAATTCCTGGAGTACTAAAATAAGTAAAGGGCCTGTTGAGAGCAGTTTGGCAAAGAGCACTGCATAAGCAGGCAACGTAGAGAACTTGATAAGGTAATATTTTAGAAGACTGGATCAGTGAAAAAAAGCAGATTAGTCAAAGACACAGAAACCCACAAGGAAGACTGGCAGTTAGTGAGAAGAAACACAAAGGATGAGAAAGACAAGCAAATCAAGAGCACAAAATCTGCTGCAAGATAAGGAGAAAAGAGACTGTGGAAGCAGATTACATTCAGACCAGTGTACCTGAAACATGGTGTTTCCACATTTATTTGCACAGGCATTTGAGCTGCCAGTAGCCTCCAGACAACAAAACCACATTAGTTTTTATGAAGGTCACATTTCAAATTTATATTTACAGCCAAGAGGGCTAAAATCTTATTTTAAAGGGACAACTGAAATCCTGCTGAGTAATAGCCTGGCTTCTCCAAGAAGTATGCAAGTTATTCCAAGTTCTTTCAGTAAAGGCAACATTGTTTTACTTACATTTGGCATCTCTAAGCTGTTCTAATAAAAGTGTGGTGTTACAAGCAGTTCTAATACTGACGTTTTAATTTTTAAAATTAAGCAGGAGCACCAAAAAATGCATTCACTTTTGAAATATGCACATCTCAAATGTGAATTACTACTCTGGATCCTTTTAAAATATTTTATACTGGAATCTCTTGCAAGGGGAGAGCAATCCACTGAAATACATATTCTACTTAATCTACATTTACAAGGCAGCAGCAGCTACTTTAGATTGGATCTGCACAGTATGCTTGAATTAAAGTTGTGTTCCTCAATCAGGCCAGAACCACATTTTTTTTCGGGGAAGAAAACCAAAGTGATGATAGATTTATACACCTTTAAGGAAGACATCAACAAATTTTAAATTGGTATATATGCAGTTTCAGCTTTCAAATGTTTATCAAAACCACACTGGAATGCAACTGAAGAGGGAGAAGATGTATTACAGCTATTGAAAAAGATTTCAAGATTAATTGCTAGTGCAGAGCTTATCAGGTATGCTTGGAAGTGCACACACTTCATCTGGAGACTGATGGAGTTTAACTCAATTTTAAGCCACTAGCTAGACTCATTTAAAAGTTAATTTGAAAACTTCTAAAGTGATCTAAAAATATCCTGGTTTTCATAGTAATCTAAAGCAGAAGGTATAAACTTGTGCAGTTCTGGTCTCCCATATTTAAGAAGGATGAATTCAAACTGGAACAGGTACAAAGAAGGGCCACTAGGATGATCCGAGGAATGGAAAACCTGACTTATGAAAGGAGACTCAGGGAGCTTGGCTTAACAAAAAGAAGGCTGACGGGGGACATGATAGCACTCTTTAAATATATTACAGGGATAAATACCATGGAGGGAGAGGAATTATTTAAGCTTAATACCAACATGGACACAAGAACAAATGGATATAAGCTGGCTAGTAGGAAGTTTAGACTTGAGATTAGACAAAGGTTTCTAACCATTAGAGGAGTGAGGTTCTGGAACGGCCTTCCAAGGGAAGTAGTGGGGGCAAAAGATCTATCTGGTTTCAAGATTAAACTAGATGGGTTTATGACTTATGAAGGGGATGGGGTTTGATGAGATATAATCTTGGTAACTAATTGACCATTCATTATCAGTGGTAAATAGGTCAATGGAGGGATGATAGGAGTTACTATAGAGCAGTAGTCCCCAACACGGTGCCCGCGGGCGCCATGGCGCCCACGGGAGCATTTCCATGCACCCGCCAGGTGCTCGGGGCTGGCCTGGCACCGGGCGCATGGCGGGGGGAGCGCCGGCCCCGGGCGCGCGGTGCTTGGCTTGTTTACTTTAACCAAAAGAAGGCTGAGGGGGGACATGATTGCACTTTTTAAATATATTAGAGGGATAAATACCAGGGAGGGAGAGGAATTATTTAAGTTTAATACCAATGTGGACACAAGAACAAATGGATATAAGCTGGCTAGTAGGAAGTTTAGACTTGAGATTAGACGAAGGTTTCTAACCATTAGAGGAGTGAGGTTCTGGAACGGCCTTCCAAGGGAAGTAGTGGGGGCAAAAGATCTATCTGGTTTCAAGATTAAACTAGATGGGTTTATGAAGGGGATGGTTTGATGAGATAACAGGATCTTGGTATCTAATTGACCATTCATTATCAGTGGGAAATAGGTCAATGGAGGGATGATAGGAGTTACTATAGAGGACTTTCTGGGTGTCTGGCTGATGAGTCTTGCCCACATGCTCTGGGTTTAGCTGATCGCCATATTTGGGGTCGGGAAGGAATTTTCCTCCAGGGTAGATTGGCAGAGGCCCTGGAGGTTTTTCGCCTTCCTCTGTAGCATGGGGTACAGATCACAGCTGGAGGATTCTCTGCATCTTGGGGTCTTCAAAGTATTTGAAGGCTTCAGTATCTGAGATATAGGTGAGAGGATTATTCTAGGAGGGGGTGGGTGAGATTCTGTGGCCTGCACTGTGCAGGGGGTCAGACTAGATGATCATAATGGTCCCTTCTGACCTTAAAGTCTATGAGTCTAAACCCAGGAATTTTGTACCCTTGAATATGGTAGGAAACTTTCCCCTAATTTTGACATTCTAATTTATCTAAATTGAGACTTCCTAATAGAAAGACTCAAACATACAGAATTATGAGCAGCACTTCATTGAAAAAAGGAGTCACCTTGTGGCAACTTAAAGACTAACAATTTGTTAGTTTAAGGTGCTACAGAACTCGTATTTGATGAAAGATTAATATGGCTACCCCTCTGAAACCTTACTCCAGGAGGTGAAGGCGGCTTTGCCGCAGCTCGCTCTCGACTTTCTGCAGTGGTCCCTGCGAGAGGGTATGCCCCACCCCACCCCCTTCCTGCAAAACCTCCGTCCCTTATTATCGGGCCCCTGTTTCGCGGGCCCCCCCGACCTCCCCAGCCTTGGACCCCCAGCTGGCAGCAAAATATGCAGCCGGTCTGTTTTCAAGCCACGCCAAGACAAAATCTGTACACGCTCGTGCTTCACACCCTGCATTTCTCCCTTACTAGTTAAAGTAGTTTCCCCTTAGCCCAGACACCAGTCAAGCATTAGAGCGCTGTAAAAAAGGTGGTTATTCTGTAGCTGGTGCTGCCTCTCTGACAGTCTAAATCCCATAAGGTGTCTCCCCCTCAGCATACAAGTTGTCCTTTATCCATTTCAAATGTTTGTTTGAAAGTTCCCACTAAATGATCTCCACAGGTCTCCTACATTTGATCAAACTGGCTTCTTCACTTCTCTAGGACGGGTTTGGAGACACCGTCATCCATTAAATCAGCAGTGGGGAACCTTTTTAGGGCCAACTGATCTGCAGAAAAATCAGTAGGGGGCTACATGTCACGAGACCCCCTCGTCAACCTACTCCTGGCCCTAGCAAAGGTTGCCATCTATAACACCAGGAGCAAGATGTTGGACAAGGGGGTTCTCTGCGACTGTGGGGCCTATTTCCGCTCCTCCCTCGTGTCACGAATCCAGGCAGAGTTCCTCTGGGCGGCGTCCACTGGCTCCATCGACAGCTTTGAGGAGCAGTGGGCGCTGTCCGGGGGTCTCTGCTCAGTGTCCCCATCCGGCTCCCTTATTTTGAACCTCTAACCCGCACTCCTTGATCCTTTATTCATTATTTGTCCCAAGGACACCCCTCTACAGAGAGGAAGCAACAGAGCTTGCAGTTCCCACTTATTGATATCCAGGCTGGGGGAACAATCCAATGTGACAGGTGCCTGCTGGTAGGACGTCTCAG